CTGATGATCTGCAGCTGCATTATCTTGATGGGCGTTGGGTGTGCTGGTCAGCCCAGTTAATCCTGTCACGGCCAAGTTCTTTTGTTTAACTTGAAGATAACTACGTGCAGTTTCAGGTAACGTTGCTAGGAGAAGGTGTGGGGGAAGATGCCTGTGTGATGGAGACAATGCTTATTAATGGTGTTTGAGCAAGACCGTCCAGGTTGTCTCTGCAAAGTATGGCTTCTCTATAAGTCTGGATGCTGGTTCCACGTGGCTGTGATTCTCAAGGAGGCTGACGTGCCATCTACCTGGGTCTGCAGTGACTTTAGAGTTGCAGGGATGGATGGCATCGGGTCTTCCATGGGTCCACATCTGGTTCAACTTGCAGCTTCAGTACAAGACTTCCCTTGGCTGGGCACATGTCTGTCCAGTAAGTTGGCTCTGTTTCATGGTCACCAGTCAGTCCATTTTCCCTGGCATACTCTTAGTACAGTCCAGATTTAGAGTTACTGTATAAGAAGTTTGCAGGGCAACAAAATGGAGTGAGAAAACTGAATGGACCCTGATGGATGTGACTATTCCCAAATTCCAGTTTCCTTTGAATGTAACAATTCCACTTATTTTGGAGGCTTTAGATAGACAGGATTCAGCTCCTATCACTTTGGACTCCAGACATATGATCAAGAAGCTCGTGGCTAGCCATAGAATCCCTATGGCATGGACAAAATATTTAACGTTTTGGAAACTTCCAAATCAGTTTCTTGAATTAGTAGATGGGATGCAGTTCTGGCAGCACCCATCATCTTTTCAAAACTGAAACTCTTAATTATAACCCAACTCAGATGTTAACGTTTTAAACAGTAAGCAAATATTTTGAATATGTGTTGAATGAGTATATGCTAATTAAGTATTCCAGCCTCAGTTAAAATCACTTGATTCATTTAGAGCACTGGAAACTGTCTCATTTCTAATGGCTTGAGCTGACATCCCTAAAGTGTGTATTTATGCCATGACATTTCACCTATATACAGGTATAGAGGAGAAAATAGGTACATGGTCATATATGAATGCATGCACTGGAATTCGATTACCAGAGTAGCTTGGAATTTCATGATATATAAATGTGCAGTAAAATACATATCAGTGAGCCCCCCATGAGAACTCATAGAAGAACCACTCATTCCCCCACCACTGATCCCCACTTTCTCCCCTCTTGCGTTGTCTAATTATCCTATTATGTGTTGTTCTTCCCTCCACACAAACACACAATGATCAGATCTCACTTGGGAATGAAAGAAGGCAGGAAGACACATTTTCAGCTTCAAGCCACCCCTGAAGACCCTGCTGGTCAGATTATTGGGGCTGTAAATATTGGGTTAAATGTAAAAAAAAAATCAATTGCCTTGGAAGCACAGAAGCTTAAGTAGTATCCCCGTTCCTTCACATTTCCCAGTTAAGGGGAAAATTCTGTTCAAACAAATTACAATGATCTGACTCCAATGGCAGCAAAAGAAAGAAATTTTACTTACAAAAATAGAAGCACATCTTACATGACATATTCACATAGGTACATTCAACTTATTGTTAACAATTAACTTTGAAAAGGTTAACTGCTACAGCTTCAAGCCCAGGGAAGAGACAGAAGAAGAGAGGGCCTATATAAGATGAAACAGCAAGTCAATCAACATCCAAAGAGGCTCAACATCTAACCGATGAGAGCATGGGGCCAACGTACCTGATAGATCAAGATGCGTAGCTGTGTTAGTATGTCGGTAGCAGCAGGAAAGAGTAAGAGTCAAGTAGCACCTTAAAGTCTAACAAAATTTGTGGCAGGGAATGAGCTTTCATAGAGTGAGCAGTGACTCACAAAAGCTCCCATCCTACCACAAATTTTGTGAGTCTTTAAGGTGCTGCTGGACTCTTTTCTAGGTGCACCTGAGTGAGAGAATTTTATTAACCCTTTCCCTCCCAGATCGATTTGCATGCAGAGTTTCAACAATATCCAATAGTAAGGCCCCCAGTCTTCTTCCCCTTTGTGGCTCCTATGTCCTCTCCAATCCCCTAATCCTGGTCTCCTGGAACCACAAATGTCAAATTGTATTTCCCTCCCTCTGGCAACATCTGTGCAGATGTGCAGACATTGCTTTTTTAAAAAAAACTCTGTGGGTTTAATCCCCATGCATTTTTTCTAGTTTCCGGATTTTTACGTAATCCTGTGGATTACACAAAGTCTGTAGAAACATCCCCATATCCATAGGAGCCACATTTTTTGGATTTTCCATGATTTTTTCTCTGTTTCCATATGTGTCTAATGCTGTGTCAAGAGGCTTATAGGTCATGTCCATACAGAATTATTTATATTTTGGATGCGTTCCTTCACCCTAAACTCTCAACACCATCACCTTCCATTTCAGGCAGCAGATGTGTAGGGTAGCCTGATGTTGCATGGTCTACAAGGAAAGACAGAGGTTGATGCGGAAATCTCAAGCTATGTCATGCCATCCATTCAGAGGTCTGTCTAGAGGTCTAACTTCTCTTGCTCCTAATTGTTCATTAAAAGTGCTGATGCAGAAAACTAAATGTCCTTCACATGGAGCAGAAAACTAAACGTCCTTCACTTGGAGTAGATTCTGTCAACTGCAGACAGTCCTGTTCAAGCTCAGCAATTTACTGCTGGGATTTCCCCATGTTTTGTTGCATCTCCCATACATATTAAGACTCTTGCAAAATTGTATGTAATCAGTCCCCAAGGGTCAATGTAAGAGTATTTTCTGCATTCAAATACTTCCAAATCATCCTGCTATATGGTTGCATGAGAAGAAGCAAAAAGGTACACCATCTCTCAAATTGAAGTACCAAGACATTTCTGTCTATACAGGCACAGCTGAGCAGCAACACAGAAGTACAGTGAAAATAATACATAATTACAGTAAATGGTAAGGTCATCCCAATCTCTTTCCAGTGCTGGCAATGATGGGCATAGGCTACTGAACTGGCTGCACCATTGGAGCTCTGCTTGGCTTGCTCCTGGATGCCAACACCCTCCTATGGCAGCAGTGTACTGGGAACTTTCCTAATAAGTCAAAGATCCAGTCTTCCCACAGCCATAAAAGCTTCCAAATTTGGGGACCTTGCTCAGACTACCAGTTAAAGTCTTTCACTTGCCTTTTACACCTCCTCTCATTTCATCTAGCCTTGCTTGTTTCAGTGTGGCTGGTATAACCAAGGTCACACAATGGGGGCATATCTTTCTATTGTTTTTATATTCAGTAGAAAGAGCTTAGAAAAACTATTCCACCATTCAGATTTTGCAGTTTGGAGATTTCCTATCAAATGATGTAATCAACAAAGAAATTGTATTTAAAAACACACCATTTTAGCTATCCTTCCTGTGCCTGGTGTAAAGAAAGGAACTGAGACTTTGTCTCTAATGTGCCAGCTTGCTTTTGATCAGACCTGTTCAGTCCTGTATTGTTGCTTAACAGCCATGGAGAGCCCAAGTGGAACTCAGAATGTTTGACTGGTCGCCTTGGTAGCAAACCAGCATAAAGGCAGCCGTTATGCCGGATACTTTAAGGAGCTTGTGAAACGTAAGTTAGTGTGCAGTTTAAATACGTCTCAGTTTTAACCTGTGATTCTGTTAGATTATTTGTGGGGAGGGGAGAGTAGAAGTCCTTTGCTTTTTTGGGAGGGTAGCTGCTATGTAACTCATGCTGAAATGAAAGCAAAAGCGGTATGCTGCTCTTTGGGCTGGTACTTCGATTGTTAATGTCATTTTCACCCAAGCATTGCTAAAGAATAATGAAAGAAAAAGAACCAGCTTGTGCAACTGGTGTACATGAGGAATTACCTAATGGCAATACAAAAGCATGCTTGCCCTGTTGCTGTATTTCAGCATCAGTCAGTTTCGAAGCAATGAAAACACATCAAGCAGCAGAACTTGCAGGTATATTGTGTTTCAGTATATTATGCGGCTGTCTCATTGTGACTCATTTGGGCAATTTATCAGCCAAGGCCTTGATCTGCTGCCAGTGGAAAATCATATGTGTTACATTTAGAGGGCACTGAGTCATGGTCTAATAGTAAAGAAACTTGCTCATAGCTAGGACACTAAGCAACATAGCTGGAAGGCAGGCTCTGGACCAGGCAACGATAGGGTTGCCAGGCTTGGCTTGGCAACTAATGGGAGATTGGGTTGGGTGGCCATCAGCCAACAGCATGATGATGTCACGTCCAGTTACTTCTAGAGAGGATTGACATCACTTATGGGGGGGAACGATGGTTTTATAATCAAGTTTTGGCCAATTCCTAGTGAGGAGTAACATCACTTCTGGGTTTACCTGGAAGTGATGTCCTCCCATGGTTGCTCAGGGCAGCAATGTGAAATGCTGGGGGTGGGGAATACCCCCCCACACACACACACACCGCGGGACTGGCAGTCCTGCTTTCAAGCTGCCATGGTGCTAGGTAGAATTGTTGCAAAAGGATCATAGCCAGGAGCAGTATGAGTAGCTAACTCCTTGGCAGGTCCCTTAAAATTTTGGTTTTCCTCTTCTTATTACAGTTCTTCCAAGGAACAGCCATCAATGGGTGGATGCCATTTTAATAGCACATGCACACGGCAAAGGCACAGAAGATGTTATCTGTGAATCAGTCAATGGAGGCCCAGTCTTAATTTGGAAGGCCAGTTTTGCTATTTCCCACAGAAAGTTTACCAGCAGTTTTGGCTACTCTTGATGAAGTGATTTGCACATTTGCTTCAAGTCTGTGACTCTGCCCACAAAACAATGTTTGGTCTTGTGCTAATTGCCTAGCAATTGTTCCCTGAGAGTCAGATCATTTGCACTACAAAGCATCCTTTAAGTTAGTCTGCATGTACAAATTAGGGAAAGCCATACTGGCTAAGTATGGTTAGACAGCTTTCATTAGACTACCCAGTGGATTTAAAATATTTTACATAACTGCAACTTCGTCTTAAGCTAAAAATCTGTTTCTGTCATTCAGTGTCTAGTTTATACATGGCAGACAGAAAGCAGAAGAACAGTCTTTCAGATCTAATAGATGGAGTGGAAAAGGCCCACAAAGCGGAAATTCAACTTTACATCTCAGGTCACCTCAACCCTAGTAACCTTTACAAGCCCCCCAAAAACAGAAAGCATAATATCTGGGCAAGTGGCAAAAAATCAGCATACATCATTGCAAAAAGAACCCAGTTCACAGCACCCAGGAAATTCACTGAGGTTACCGGAAATACAAAGTGTACTTTGGCCAACTTCATTGATGCCACAACAATTCCCATCCGAGCTAGATCAGTGGCTCATTCATATTATCAACCTCCGTCATTCCAGGTCAGCCCTGGTACTCCAGAAAGTGTTTCTTTAGGTACTCCTTCTTGGGAAATACAAAGAAAGGAAACAGCTAAGACAATGGATGAGGAAGCTGGCGTACTTCGGAAGCCTCTTATCAGGGAAGAGTTAGATGTTCAAGAGCTAAAAATGTTGAAATATAAACCAACTATGAACAGTCGGCTTTGTGTCACAGAGGGGGCTAAAGATGAATACGAATTCCTTCCTTCCTACTTGGCTGGTGTGACCAAAACCGACCAGTTTCACAAATTCATGCAATTTCAGAATGATTTTATTGCCAAGAAAGATTTGCTGGAAAATGACTTCATTGGGAGCAAGTCAGTAGAGCAACATGAAAAGAAGTTGGCACAAGTAAGTAAACAAGTAGCAGAAAATAGCTGTGACATGCACCAACACTAATCTTGGAAATTAAATGAAGGCACAAACTAATCCACATCAATATGAGAAAAGAGTTATTTGGCTATTAGGAAGACTTAGAGAGAAAATACCATTAGGTCTCTGCTCAGTTTCCCCAAACTGCCACTTTGGTATGGATCACCTTTGATTATTTCAGTCACCTTTCAAAAATTGGATTAACTTCTTCTGCAGGAGTAAAATAGAATTGGGTTCTGTGGAGTTTGCTGGGACTCTAAAGCCATCACATTTTGATCAAGCTGCAAATTTCTAGCTTGTTGAAACAGGAATAACAGAGACCTTTTGCATCATGTAGCTGCTAGGGTTTTGCATGGGGGGGGGATCGGTATTTTTCAGGTTCGGGTAAACCAAACCTGAAAAATATCAGTAAATGCCAATATTCCCAAATCCCAATATCAGTATTATACTGGGATTCGGGGAATACTCGGCATTGCTGAAAATATTCAGCTCCCCAGTAGAGCAGGTCAGTATCACTCACTTCCTCTTCCATGTGCAGGGGGAGTGCAACTGACCTGCTCTCCCTCCCCTGAGCTTCCCTAACTGCCCCACTGCTGCAGGCCAACTGGGGAAGTGAAGACAGATCAAGGAAGCATCTTTAAGTGCCTCCCCTTCACTTCCCAGCAGGCTGACTGGGGAAGGAAAGAGATAAGGGGTTTAAAAATAAGCCCCTTCTCTCTCCATTGTACCCTATGGGGCCACAGGACACGATGGAGAGATCTTTAAGTGCCTCCCCTTCACTTCCTCCCCAGTCAGCCTGCCAAGGGAAGGTTTTTAACTTTAAACACTTTCCCTTGCTTCTGGGGCTCGTGCCACCTCTTCAGTGCAACCCCCCAGCCAAACTTTGCCTTGGCTGGCGAGTTGTGCCACAAGAGGTGGCACAATTCCCTAAGGAAGGGGAGGTATTTAAAGTTAGAATACTTTCCCTTCACTGAGGAGGTGCGCCACTGCAGTGCACCTTCCCAGCAAAGGGATTCCCGACTGAATGCCAAATAGTTTCAGCACTATTTGGGGAATCCCTATTCGGCCAGACAAAACAGATCAGAGAATCTGATTTGGCTTTCAGCATGCCTGAATAATGCTGAATAGGCATTATTTGGGTTTTTATTCAGTTCATTTGAACCAAACACACAACCTTAGTAGCTGTACTTCATTTCTACTGCTGGACAACAAAACAAAACTTCCAGATTTGAGTCCAGCAGCAGCTTAGAGACCAACATGTATGAGCTTTTGAAAGTCAAAGTTCCTTTTGTCATATACAAGTAGGAATGGAGATCTGGGAGTCCCTATATTCCAGTCGGAAGGTGGGAGAGGTGTTGCAAAGAAAGGAGTCAGGATGCAGAGGTACAATGAGAAATGTAACTAGTTTGATAAAATCAGGGGAGAAATGCTTAGGGGCAGAAAGTCAGCATCTATAGTGCAATAAACATCCAGTGTTCCTATTCAGCTCTTCAGCTCTCCTGTGAATGAACTAAAGTTCAGCAATCTCAAGTTGTAATCCTGTTCTTTTGGAGTTCAGCAGCATTTTGGTTTGGGCCCTTTTTTGTTTTCTGTTTACTCCCCCCCCCCAGGACTCCCATTTGCAGTCCTTTATATTTAATTATATTTATGCTGAGAATCTAGAATCCTGTAACTTCACCTGGGCAGATCCCGCCCCCCCAGCCAGACACTGGAAGCAAGGCAAGCATCCCCCCCTACACTTGCAGCCTCACCCCAAGTCTCCAAAGGCAAGTTCTGAAGGACAGAAAGGCAGATATCCTTTTGACAGGGGATCCCCAAAGTTACCCCATGGAAGCTTGGCAGGCACCCTAGCCACAGAAGACAAACAAGGGAAGCATGCCCACAACTCTCACAGCCCCCCAAGGCTGAAACACAAAGGAATGGAAACACATGTCAAGCTGGCAAGGTCACCCCCACACACACACACACACTCTTATACCCTCCCACCCCTCCTGATGGTGAACACCTCTGTGTGCCATGAGGGTGAAAGTTGGGTGCAAAGGGTACTTCTCATGTGGGGAAGAAGTCCTCCACCCCCTGCGTACCACAGGCCCCATCCCCGGGCACCAAACTCTTCCTTCCAGTTCACTGGAGCCCAGACCTAGAGGCCATCACCAGGGCTCTCAGAGCCTCCTTCCCCTGATCTGTTCCTGGGGCTCTCCACAGAGGCAAAAGAGTTGTTAGCACTGCCCAGACACCAGCAGTTGCTAACACCCTTTGGAGAGGAGGACTCTGACAGCAGTGATTCAGAGGATGGTGGGGAAGTGTCCTCCCCTTCCATATCCCAACTCCCTGTTGCTGCTCCTGCCTCAAATGCACCCCTCTGAGGCCCCTCCCAGCTAAGCACCAGAAAGCAGTTGTCCCTCCCACCTTCTCCAGTCCTGGGGCCCTGTTTCCAGCCCACAGTTTGGAAACCTTTCCACATCTTGCCCAGTGACCTCTGTATGGCAGAATGCCAGGTGTGCCACGCCCATGTCTGGAGGGGTGTGAACCCCCAAAACTTGTCATCTTCTGTCCTCCATAGCCACCTGCAAAGGGTGCACCCAACTATGTTGCCACCAGAAAAAAGAGTTATGGCCAGCAGGAGGAAGAAGAGGCCCACACCCTCTAAGCAGGAAGAAGCAGAGCAGGAGGCCCCTCCAAGAAAGGCTCCTGACACTCAGGGTGCTATAGGTGGGACATCAAGGCAGGCCACCCTCCAAGAAGTCATTCCCACAGGGACGCCAACAGTGCCATCCAAAAGGGTTATGTGGAGGGCCCAGGAAGCAGTCACTCACCTCATTGGTGAGATGATTGCTGTGGATGGCCAACTCTTCTCCCTTATGGGGGATCTAGCCTTCTGCCAGCTGTTGCAACACCTGGCTCCTTGGTACTCTGTCCTCTTATGGAGGACCATGAGCCAATGAAGCTTGAAAAGGGAAGCAAAGAGATTAAGTGCATCAACAGCTGCTAGCCATGGTAACTAAACCATGGCTTGTAGCTGGAGTGGCTTCATATTCAAAAGAAGTGGACTTCCAAATACAAATTTTAGGAGGCAACAACAGAGAAGGCCTTGGGGTCTGTTTTTGGTGACTTCATATTCAAAAGAAGTGGACTTGCAAATACAAATTTTAGGAGGGAACAACAGAGAAGGCCTTGGAGTCTGTTTTTTTATGTTCTTTTTAAGGATGTTTGGTCCCGGCAACTCACAATCTAAACAGTAAAGAATGGAAAAGATTACAACAGAAAGGCTAGTCCTGAATCACCAACTGGTGTTAAAATAACATTCCCAAAGATTTTTGCAGTTCTTTCTCACTGAACAAAGTTAGACCCTACCACTGTATTGATTTCATAAATATGGTGTGCAATTTTCTTCCAAATGTGTAATAGTTTTAGAGCAAAAATAAACTGGAATCTTGTGGCACCTTAGAAACTAACAAGAAACACAAGATTTCAAGAAACTAGAGCTTGCATCTGATGAAGAGGGTCTACAAAAGCTTATGTTAGAATGAAAACTTGTTACTTTTTAATATACCACTAGGCTCCTGTTTATCTTTACATATACCTTAGTATACTACATGTTGATATGCAAATGGCCATATGATCCCTGGCCTTCCAGGAGATCGACTGAACAAAGTTTCTCTCCAGAAACCTGCCTGTTTTTAGGTGAACTTTGTGTGGCAGGGATTATATGTTACAGCCCCCCTCCCATATCTGCAAGAACCAGGGTATAATGATCAGGACAATATATCTAAATAAATGTTGCAAGTGAATCTGACTTCCTTCCAGGAACTCCGGAACATTTGTGATTGCACACGTCCCCACTTTAACCGCTTGCAGGCTGTTGGTAATGTGTTTGAAGATATTTGCAACAGCTCTATGATCTTTGGTGACATTCTGAAAGAAGTGAAGGTATTGTGGCATTCCTACTATTTAATGCAACTTGTCCTGAAGGTCCTCAGATCTCCTGAAATTATAACTGATCCTCCAGACTACAGAGATCCGTTCCCCTGGAGAAAATGGCTGCTTTGGAGGGTAGACTCTACGGCATTGTATCCCACTGAGGCCCCTCCCCTTCCCCAAACCTTGTCCTCCCCCGACTCCATCCCCAGATCTCCAGGATCTGGCAACCCTACGTCTCCCATTATCCATTTTGTCCTCATAACGCCAGCCCTGTGAGATAGGTTAGGCTGAAAATGTGTCACTGGTCTAAGGTTACCCAACATGCTTCCATGGCAAAGTAGGACTTTGAACCTGGGTCTTCCCTGTCCTGTCCTGAAGCTTTAACCAGGACATCACACTGGTTGTATCCTGCTGCCCGGTATTTTTAATGCTATTGTCTAATTTACCAATTGGCCAGTTAAACACTCTGTGATTAATAAAGTACACATCCTTAATTGGTTGACAGCTATAACATTATGTTTGGATCTTGTTAATTTAATTGCAGGTGCTTCATATGAACTCCAGTGCATTTAAAAGTACATTTAAAAGATAAAGAAGGGAGGAGTAAGATTTTATCTCTCCCTATTCCAAATTTAGCTATTTTCCAACACTCCGATTTTATTATACTTTACAGAATGAATATGAGCTTTACATAGTGATCCTGCTGGATTCTCTGCCGACACTGCAGTACAGGGTAATATTTCTGTTTTCAGTGTACAGTAATGTAAAATTCTCTCTACAATGACATGAAAGTTCATGAACGTCCAAGAAAACATAATGCGTGGCTGTTATGATCAATGCTTCCTCTAAGCTGTGGAGTCTTGTGAGCAAAAGTTCTGCTCTGTGAGCTACTAGCATTAAAGTTGTGAGCAAGTGATTTGGCTACTGCATAAATTAGTTTGCTCTGGAGCCATCCTTTCTGAGCTGAGAAAAACAATGTGTGAGCTGGAGGCTAAAAAACTGAGCTAGCTCACACTAATTCAGCTTAGAGGGAACACTGCTTATGATGTGTATTCTTATGTAGCAGATCCCCCCTATTTTAGAGAGGACTGCACATCACATTTTGTACTGTGATCATTTAAAGACTTACAGTGCAATCCTAAGAACATTTTCTGGGGAATAGGTCCCATTGAATAGACCTGACTCATGTTCTGAGTAGACCGGCTAAGGATGGCCCTATATATTTCTCTTTTCCAAATGCAGTCACTGGTCCTGTTTTTCGTTTTTGTTTTTAAGGAGGAAAGCCATTTGGTTGGAAGAAAGAAGAGGGCTCTTTGACCCTTTCCTCTCCTTTAATTTTCTTCATATGACCCACCCCTGAGGGCATAAACGTGTCACAAAGGTGCCATGTGGAGAGGGGGACTCCTGCTGCTGTCCCTTTCTTACCCAGAATGCTACTGTAAGATGTTTCTTCCTTCTGGTCACTTCTCTTCTCTCATTCTTTTCCTCTTTCCACCATGAGGGCTGGACATGCTTTCTACAATCTCTTCTACATCCTAGCTTAGACAGGTAGCTAGAAACCTTTGCTTTGCCTTTCCTATGTGGTATGGAGTTATGTTACAATAATTTATTTTATTTTATAATGAATTTCTGTTTTTCCCCTAAGTAACAAACCTCAGCGTGAACTTATTTCTCAAGCAGCCAGACTGTGAAATTCTGTTTTGCACACACAGCACTGCTTTCACCTTTCTCTCTGTGTTGTATTCATATTTTTGTGTTGTGTTGTATGCGTTGGCAGAGTAATTAACACAGCAATGGTGCACAACCTGATTAAAGAGCAGGTAAAGGTTTGCAAGAAATTGCAAGTAGATAAATAGGTACCCCTCCAGTGGGAAGGTAACAGCGTTCCGTGCACCTTGGTGTTTAGTCATGCCGGCCACATGACCATGGAAATGTCTTCGGACAGCGCTGGCTCTTCGGCTTTGAAACAAAGATGAGCACCACAACCCTAGAGTCGGATTCGACTGGCTTTCGAGCAAGGGAACCTTTACCTTTACTTTAAAGGTTTATTTAGGAGTTAACATACTTGATAAGAAAAAAGAGAGACAGAAATAGTTTCCTAACTACATCACTGGCTGACAGGGTAAGACTGAGTGTGGCACTTCCAAGAAGAAGGGGGAAATTGCCCTGAGAGTAGCAATCTGGAGACAGACAAGGAATGACACTTAAAAGGAGAGAAGGTCATGCTGACCTCACTATCCTATCTAATGGTCTTCTTGCTGCCCCTTTGGTGTAGTGGTTAAGTGCACGAACTCTAATCTGGGAAAACCGGGTTTGATTCCCCACTCCTCCACTTGCAGCTGCTGGATGACCTTGGGCAAGCCATAGTTCTAGCACAGCTGTTCTTGAAAAAGAGCAGTTTCTGTCAGTGCTCTCTCAGCCCCACCTACCTCACAGGGTGTCTGTTGTGGGGAGGGGAGGGGAAGGGAAAGGAGTTTGTAAGCCGCTCTGAGACTCCTTTGGGTAGTGAAGGGCGGGGTAGAAATCCAATCTCCTCCTCCTCCTCTTCTTCTTCTTCCACCAGACATTGCCTTTTCCAACAGCATGTTATTCTGTTTTTGTGTTTTGTCTTGAAAAATTATGCAGCAACAAAATCTGGCAAGACTAGCCTATTGGTCACAATCAAATGTCCGAAGGGAATATATTATACATCTCTTATTTCATATGTGCTGGTGAAAAGGCAGAGCTAGTTAATATGACTGTATTTATCATTTGACATATGTGAGATCCAGGACTAACTTTCCTACATGAATGAACTATCATGGGTCACATGCCACTGACAGAACTTTCAGATCATCTCACCTCATCTAAACAACAACACAAAAACAAACACATGTTGTTTAACCGAGTAAGCTCTGAGTCATCGCGTACCAAGCAATGAAGTACATGTATGGTGAACTGGTCCTCATTCTGCCCATATGTAGACATTAACTTTTCCATTGCTCTCCATGGCAGGTGGTTAGCAATGTCTTTCCATAAGCAAATGTCTGTAACAATTATGTAAGTTAATACTGACAAATGTTTCAGTTTTCATTTGTGTTTTGGCAATGCAATAGACTCTGCAGAATGAAGTAAAAGGTATGGAGAAGAGGACAGTGAAGACTCATGAAATTGTGGAGGCCCGGCATGAAGTCCAGTTTCTTGTGCAGAAGTCCAAACAGCTCTTAGAAAGAAATGAAGAGTAAGTTGTGAGAGTGTGAGATGTTTAAATGGCAGAGACCACATACATGGAGAAATATTTGCCTACAGTTTGGAATGGTCAGCCTATCTGGAGTCATTCAGTTCTCCAGACAATTAATCAGGGCCTGGAAATGGACTTGCCATGCAGACTGTCACATAGAACCTGGAGCCAACTTGCAGTTATTAGCAACAGGACAGAAACAAACGGGCAGGATACCTGATGGCTGTTCCCAAGCTGTTGGAATTTCTTTCTCCTGAACAGCGAATTGGTTTACCCAATTTACTGCTTGCTTTTCATTGCATGAGCCATGTGCTTAGCATAATACAATTTCTTCATGTCACCTGTGAAATGGATTGCAATCCTGCACAAAGATAAATTATTTATATCCCACTGGAATGTAAACAGGCTAACAATATGCAAAACTGCAACTGTGAGCCACCCAGACCATATGTATCTTTAGTCTGAGACCTTATGTGGTACAGTGGTTATTGTGTCAGACTAATCTGCTACTCTTTGACTTCAATAATGGGGTTATAACTTGAGACTTGAATATACATGTGTCCTATACGTTGTGTCTTAACAATAAATTCTTGCATTTTAAAATAATTGAGGGCAACTCTGCTGAGATGAAAGTTACTACACATCTCAAATTTGGTCTTGATGCTGGCAAAACATTTTGATCTCTCCCAATCTAACAGGGAAATTGATCAATTGCACCAAGTTAGATCTAATTTGGGACTTCAATTCCCATCTGGGAGTCTGACCCCTGGGCAGGGAAAAGACTGAACATGCTAAAGAACTCTTCAACAGATATATTCCTCTTAAAGCTGGAATGTATTTCTGAAGAGATTATATTAGGGTCAACAGACTCTCCAGTAGCAATTAGCGATTTTCCAGAGCTATCATGACCACATAAATGACCCCCTAAATACCTATTAGTTTTATCTACAATAGTAGGCCTTTGCAATACTTTCTGTTTTGAGACAGTTATAGGCAGAGGTCATTTTTGGGGGGGGGAACGCGGGGGAACGCAGTTCCCCCGGGTGAGGTGCAGGGGGGCGGGGCACATGATGAAGCCCCGCCCCCTGCTTCCGGCCGCCCTGCTTACAGCCCTCATTCAGCCAGGAGGAGGCAGGAGAAGAGGGAGGGTAAGTTGCTTCCTCCCTGCCTCTCCCCACTCCTGCCTGCCTGGGGCCAGGGAGGGCCTTGGCGGGGCTTCCTCGCACTCCCGCCGGCCTTGCAGGTCCACCGCCAGGCCCCTGATGTCAGGGGGTGTGGCATATGCTAATGAGTTATGCTAATGAGTTCCCCTAGCTCTTTTTTCTATGAAATGACCCCTGGTTATAGGAATGTCCTATATGTCAGCCATTCGAGATTTGATCTCACTCAAGGTTCCATTAATCTCTAATAGACTTCAAAATAATTTTGCAGCCATTTTACTAGTCAGCAGGCATTGAGTGCCCACAAAATCCAGATCAAATGGGGTTTTCTCCTTGACAAGTCAAGGTAAGCCATGAGTGGAATTTATATCATTGTTGCTAAAGGGGAATTCTTCTTCAAAGAATAAATCACCATTGCTTAATTGTGGTGATTCTAAATTATCCTCCTCAAAAAGAGATGCATAGTGGTTTAAAATTGGAATAGGGTTGCAAGGCCCTACTGGCTCATCCACTTTATGGGAAGTATGCTGGTGTAGGTAGTTATCCAGCTTGGATTGCTTGAGAGGAGGAGGACTGTCATTAAGGAGCTCATTGAGTGGTCTGGACCTTTTCTTCACCAATTCCTCCCTATGTGATTTCTGTCAACTTTCTTACTTAGATCAGAAGTCAGGGAAAAAACAGGTCATACACAGTTCAGTCTCTAGAACAATCCTTCAAAATAAGGCTGACTGTCAAGATTAATTTGTCTTATTAAGCTGACAATAATTTCAACACTCCTACTGAGTGACACAATGTAAAATAGACAAAATAAAATTGCTTTTTCACTAAAACAACTCAAAGAGGCACTTATCTTTTGGCTGGTTTTCTCTTTGTCATTCACTCGTTGATAATAAGGACTTGATTATCTCTGGGAGAAAAATTCTAGGCTTAAGCATCCGCCATCTTCAGAACAAAGTCGAAAGCTCAAAAGTCTGAGCAAGGTAATCACAAAGTGATCAAGTCTCTCCAGTTCTTCAATTTATTTTACAGAGTTTGAGTAAACTTCCACACAGCAAGAGGTAGATAATTTCCGGGTACTTCTTCTTCATGAGTTGTCAAAGATATCTAAGTCTTCATAGCACCTGTAATATATTGAGCTTGAGATCCATAACAAAAGCAGGCTAGGATTCTAGGAGTGCACCAGTAGGAACGCTTGGATCCTAATATAGCCCAATAGGGTTACCTGGAAAAGTAACCTGGTGTAAATAGCCTATCACGGGGAGTGGGGTGTGTTTTGGGTGTGACTTTCTTTGGGCATAAAACCTGGCTTCAGCCAGGGGTCTTCGTTTTTGTTCTCACTGCTGAATCACTTAATAAACTATGAGCTGATCACTCAATGTGTCTGAACCCAGTACATTTCACTGGCAATGAAAGTGGGATCCAGATGAGCGAACTGGCTCCAGCTAGCAACGCACCACGCACCAAGGCACAGGACCCCGCACACCACACCACTCCAGAGACTATGGTTGCCATTCCTGGATCTTTCAATGCATTCAATGCCACCACAGAGGACTGGGAGTCCTACGTGGGCCGGTTCAACTTCTTCCTAGAATCCTCTGGCATCCAGACGGCCAGATGAGCGAGCTGGCTCCAGCTAGCAGCGCACCAAGGCACAGGACCCCACGCACCACACCACTCCAGAGACTATGGTTGCCATTCCTGGATCTTTCAACGCGTTCAATGCCACCACAGAGGACTGGGAGTCCTACGTGGGCCGGTTCAACTTCTTCCTAGAATCCTCTGGCATCCAGACGGCTGAGATGAAGTGTGCAAAATTCTTCCCCGTAAGTGGCTGATCGACATATGAGATTGCCCGCTCGCTCTTCACCCCGGTGGAGCTCAAGGACACAGACCAACTCAAGAAACACTTCTCCCCGAAGCCATCGGTCATCACGGCCTGCCATGCATTTCACTTGCGGAACCAGACTGCCACCGAGTCCAAAACACGAATGCCATTTCTGGGTGATGTCATTGCACTGCTTTTGAGGGCATTTGTGGGTGGGGAGGAGGCCACAAAAGCAGGGAAAACCCCACCCAGACCAGGAAGCTGGCAACCCTAGCAATCCATCCACTGATGAACCAATACAGAACAAAGCCTTCTCTAATGGAAAAATGCTGCTAGCTGAAAACAGTTTCCTGTGAGACTTCTTGCAGTGTTCAATTTTGAATTTCTGTTTGTTCACTTATCACTTAATTCTTTAATTGTGTCCTGCTTTATGGTGTGTGAAACACACTCAGGATGGCTTTCAATATAAAACAATAGCTAAAATATGACAAAATGTAAACACAAAAGTGTGATCAGAGATGGTTGTTGATGGTTATTTGAATATGAAAGTAGCCATATATAAACTGCGGGATGTAAAGCAGCTTACATTGTTCTCCTCCCTTTCATTTTATCCTAACAACAACCCTGGGAGATAGGTTAGGCTGAGTGTGTGACTGGCCCAAGGTTACCCAGTGAGCTTTCATGACAGATTGAGGAATCTAGGCTGGGCCTCCTAGATTCAAATCTGACGCTCTAACCACTTCACCACACTGGCTCTGTAGTTTGGTTTTGGGTCTTGTTGTATTGGACTTAGAAGATAGATTTTGGTTAAAATTAATATAACATTACTTTCTCCTTCTCTTGAATTTAGACTCAGAAATGAGTTAGAAATGGAACTGTGGGTGAGTCAGTCTGTCTCAGAAAAGCCAGGTGAGTAGTAACAAAAGCTTTGAATAGTTATATTGGCCTGTATAAAATTGCTGTGTCTATAAACCTATACATTAAGCTGCATTCAAACGGCACCAACGTGAAACTGACATGTACAAGAAGCTTACTTGTTGCTATGCTCACATGTGTGCTCCTGTCCTCTGCCTTACCTTCTTGCACAAAGAATCTCTGTTGAGAATGAATTCTGGTTGCCTGTGATGTACAAATGCAGGCAAATGGGTTAACTGGAGTACCAGTCAGGATCCTAAGCTGAGAATCAAGATTTATGGTTTTTTTGGGGGGAGGGGAACAGACCTGAACAGAATGGCTCAGGCTAGCTGAAGTGTAGTGGGTTAAATGCATGAAGAAACCACGGAGACTGATGTAGCAATCAACATGGTTTACTGGTACACAACAAAGACAAAGACAAACGGCCGGCTGGCCAACTATATACATACCTGGGGACACACCCCTAGGTCCCGTTGGTGGGTTTAAATCTCCCGCCATGGTCCCATTGGTCCCCCAGTGGAGAAACCAGGAGTCTAGTCCCCATTGTTACTCCAGAGTCAAGCTCTGGAGTGTTCGCTGGCCCCTGGTGGTGGTCAGCGGACACAACACTAGCCTGATCTTGTCAGATTTTGGAAGATAAGCAGGTTTGGCCCTGGTTAGTATTTGGATGAGAGACCATTAGGAAGACCAGGGTTACTACACAGAGGCAAGCAATGGCAAACCACCTCTGAACATCTCTTCCCTTGAAAACCCCATGAGGGGTCCGCATAAGCTGGTTGCGACTTAATGGCACTTTCCACCACCATGTGGGGAACTAACTTCAGTTAAATGTGGCACTCCCCTTGTCCCGTCCATGGGCCTCACCTTCAGCCATTTCTGCTTAGTCTTAGCAGGGCCTGCAATGTCTCAAACTAGAGAGGGGAGGGGTTTGCACCACCATGTTCCTCCACCTCTTTGTGACCTTCCCTTTCTTCCTTGGAGTCAGGTCACCACCTTCTCCCCTGCTTCTTGGTCCTCCTCTGCGTCCCTGCACCCTCATGCCCATGCCCTGCTTCCTCCCAGCTGGACGTGGACATTGCTCCAGACAAGAGCAAAGGCTCAGCGACCTCCAGGGGTGTTCCTGCCCTGTTCCCTCCCCACTAGGCTTGCTGCTAGTCCAGCAGCTTGTCAGCCAAATCTGTTGGGCTGCTCATCATGGACTGTCTCCACATCCACTGGATATGTCCCAGCCAGGGTTCCCCCTAAGGCAGTGATGACGACCCTTTTAGAGACCGAGTGCCCAAACTGCAACCCAAAACCCACTTATTTATTGCAAAGTGCCAACACGGCAACTTAACCTGAATACTGAGGTTTTAGTTTAGAAAAAACAACTCATACATTAACATCTTTTGTCTTAAAACACAGTAACAGAGCTTTCAATGATACAAACAACTTTTTATTGAAAGGTAAAAGTTTGCATTTGGCTGTGGCCCCGGATGACATGCACGCTGGGGTGGGGTTTCCCCATTTTACTTTCTGCATTTTCCCTCTCCCATGGGATGATGATCATGCAAGGCCTGGCCCTGCCATTGCAGCCTTGGTGCTCCAGCCCCCTCCCCGAGCAGTGCCACCACAGGGCCACAGGATGCCCCCCTTGCCTGGAGGGAGGCCCAGCAAGGAAAGGGCTTGCTCTCAGCCAGCCACGGGTCCACGGCACAGGCCAAACTTGTTGCCTCCCGGGGAAGGGCGGGTGGGGTGACTCAGGCGAGGTGAGGCTGGCCCTGGCAGCCTGGAGCAGAGGAGCCCATTTCATCTGGGGGGTGGGGGCTGTGCCCCAACCTTAAATTCCTTCCAAGTGTTCACAACTGGCTGGGTGGGTGGGAGGCATGGCAGAGCGGCAGCAGGGGACTCGCTGAGACGGCGGGTGGCAACTGCGTGTGTGTGTGCACCACACATGCTCGGCCTCAGCACACGGGCTCACAATGGATGGAGGAGCACAGCACACAGGCACTGAGGAACAGGCAGTGGGCAAGCAGAGCAGGCGCAGCACAGGGCTTTTGGTGATGCGAGGGAGGGGAGGGTGGGGCGAGCGCCTAAGATATGTCTATGATGGTCCGGGCCTGGCTGGGGCGACGGTGCATGTGCCCACAGAGAGGGCTCTGAGTGCCCCCTCTGGCATGTGTGCCATAGGTTCACCACCACTACCCTAAGGTGTTACAGCCTGTGCTAGCATGCCAATTTCTGATCCCCAGCACTCAGATTTTCATCTAAGTGCAGGGGGCCAAGGAGTGGCTTTGGAGAAGGCAGGCAGAGTGAATGCCCTTTTACATGCCTGCCTTCTCTGAGTCTGCTTTCTGCAATTGCATGACTTCTTTCTCTTTCTGTATTTCTATTTCTTTCTCTCTTTCTCTCTTTCTCTCTTTCTCTCTTTCTCTCTCTCTCTCTCTCTCTCTCTCTCTCTCTCTCTCTCTCTTTCTTTCTCACCTATTGCTTTCCATTTCTTTCTCTCCCTTCCTTTCTCTCTCTCCTCTTCACTTTCCAACCTGAAATTAAAAATAACAAAAATTAGGCTCTCAGAACTTTTATGCTCATCGTTTTGTTTTGTTTTTGCTTGCAAAGTAGAATTCTTGCTCACAATAGTTGACAGCTTAGAGGGAACACTGGTCCCAGCTTTGCTACTGCTGATATTACTGGAGAGCAGCCAACTGCAACTGGGGTGATAGGTATGTGGGCTGCTCCTGGGGGCACTGATGCAGTTCCATTGCTCCCCCATTGCCATGGTAAATCTGTGGAAAGCCTCCAGTGCTGGACATGGAGTTAGCTTCCAGGTGGCATTCTCCACACAGCAAGGGAGAGGCAAATTGGAGGTATGAAGATGGCAATGAAGTAAGCGAAAATGTCATCTGGATACAGCCTTAGAGTCTTATGCTGGAGTCATACATGCTCCTAGCCAAATGTAATCCCACTGGCTACATTCGACTGCTAGCTAATTTACTCATTTTGGGGGGGATAAAGTATTGGCTTGCAGAAGCTATATTGACTTTGCTGCTAGTTTTTGAAACTGCAACCACAAGGCTGCACCTGTACAACCATTTCTTTATACTTGCAGCATCTAAACATGAAGAACCACCAAAAGTGGAGGCATCACTTTCCAGTGGTGAGCACCTTGAATCCCTGAGGTTAAAAATTCTCACCAAGTGGGAGGAGATTCAACTAATGGAAAAAGAAATTAAAGACACCATGATTTTTGCTGGCATTGCGAGCATCAGAGAGAAAACAGTTAAAGAACTACTGGTAGGATCTCTCTCTCTCTCTCTCTCTCTCTCTCTCTCTCTCTCTCTGTGTGTGTGTGTAAAATGAAAGAGCTTGCAGGGGACAACATCTCATTGTTCCATTATTTTCTGATTTTTGTTTTCAATTTTGTTGACTGATTTTTTTTTTAATATTTTGTGCTCAAACTGTCACTAGGAAGTGAAGTTGAAAAAGAGTTATTAATAATAAAGCACTGGAAGATAAGATATAAAAGATTTGACTCCGCCGGGACCAGAGTGTTCAAGTTTTCTGCTGTGTATTCATGCAGTGGCAAATGGGCCTTCATTGCTGTGCAGTGTGTAAGGAAGCACTCATATCCTCATGCTTCAAACTATTCAGAATAATTTAAAAACCAGAAAGAGGTCTGTGACGGACAGTAAATGGTTAATGCTGTAACCCTGTTTGAGAACCCTGAATGACAAGGGATTCAAATGGAATTCTTCAACTGAGAGTGTCAATTAGGAGTGGCAGTTAAGAATTAACTAAGTTAAGAAAGGAATTAGGAGTGGCAGTTAAGAAAGGGAGGCTAAGGGGGTAATAGGATCAAGAAGGATCCCCATTCATGCCTGATAGAAATAGCTCCTAGAAAAGGGGGGGGGATACCTATTAAGTGGTTAAGAAGGGAAATTGGAGCTAGTTTGAGTATTCCTGCCTTCACCAGCTTTAATATGCCAAGAAGCTTATGCTTGTTTATGTAAGCAGAGACTACCAAGAAATCTCTCTCCTTAAGTTTTAAAGATCTGTCTGAATAACAGAAACACCTGTTTGTGACAAACTATCTAGTGTTTATTTTTATACAAAGTTACTAGCCAACCTAGCAGTTCGAAAGCAAGACATTGCAAGTAGATAAATAGGTACCACTTCGGTGGGAAGGTAACAGCGTTCTGTGCACCTTGGTGTTTAGTCATGCCGGCCACATGACCACGGAAACGTCTTTGGACAGCGCTGGCTCTTCGGCTTTGAAACGGAGATGAGCACTGCAACCCTAGAGTCGGATTCGACTGGCTTTCAAGCAAGGGAACCTTTACCTTTACCTTTACTCCATTCCTGTTGCCTGTTCACCTCATGTCCTATAACTGATTCATACCTGACCATTTCCCCTCAAAGTTAAATAAAAGTTTGTTATTTTTGAACTAACACCAGCCTTTCATGTGCCATTATCAAACTAGGACAAAAGTAGGACTGTAGTCTCTCCCCTCAGTTTCCTAGGCTGGGTTAGCTTTTACCAATATACATTCAAATGACTGGGTGGGACAGCCAGAAAAAAAAAAGAAAGAAAAGGAAAAAGGGGCTGCTCAGCCAAAAAGAAGATAAAGGGAAATCCTGTGAAGGAGGGTGAAATCATCATAAGGTCTAATTGCAGGGGTGTACTGGGAGTCAAAAACAGCCTTGGAAAGGGCCCCATCTACTGCTGGCTTCAACCTATCTCAATGGAGAGGGAAAGGAAGAAAAGCCAGAGGCTGCTCATGGGCTGTTTGAGTGGCTGCAGCTGCCTTGGACAACTGGCTGCCTTGCTCACCTCCTGTGGTGGCTGCAGCTCTCTTGGGCAGTTGGCTGGTTCAATTCTACAGCAGTGGTATGTGGGTGGCTTTGGCAGCCTCTGCACAGGATGAGGGCTGCTGGCTTGCTGTGGTGGCAAGCCCTGTATGGGGTGATTCATTTAAGAGTCTAGGGCAGGGGTTCCCAACCTTTTTGAGTGGGGAGGCACCTTTGGACTATATCTTCCACAGTCACTCCATGGGCTGCACCTCAGTTACTGGGCTCAATTTAATGCATTGGCAATCACTTATGGAGCCTTGGTGCTCATACCTGCAGGACTGCTTCTTCCCCATGCCATGTCATGACAGTTTCACCCATTCTGCAGATGCCACCCTGCAAATGGGCAATATATAAAAAAGGACCATATACGGGCATTCTTTGTTGTAGCTCCCACCTAATGGAATGGGCTGCTTGCTGAGGTCAGGAAGTCTCCCACACTTCTGGCTTTCTGCAAGCTATACAAAACTGATCTATTCAAGAGAGCTTTTTGGGTTTTTTTTTACAATAATAGGGTTGTATTGCAATAAAATGGTTCTAAAAGAAGGTTAGGTGAAGAGTTAGGGAATGTGGACTATGCCTCCCCAATCGGTCTTCCCTTCCCCAGCCAGTGTTTCCCTCCCTGGGTAGGCATGAGGTGGGAGGAGGCAGAGGAAGAAAGCAACTTTAACTTTAAATGCATTCTGAAAGCCTGCTTCTTGCTGGCCAGCTTGGAGAAGGCATTTGTCTCTTTAAATCCCTTCTCCAAACCAAGCCAACTGGTGTGGTGGCATTGGGGGGGAGGTTGGAGAACACATTTAAAGCTAAAGTTGCTTTCTTTCCACCTTTCCCTCCCTCTCTCCTCCCATCTATTTGCTTTCTTTCCCCTCTTTCTTTCTTTTCACCTTTCTCTCTCTTTCTCCCTTCCTTCCTTTCTCTCTCTTTTTCTCTCTTCCTTCCTCCCCCTCCCTCTACTCTTTCTTTCTTTCTTTCTTTCTTTCTTTCTTTCTTTCTTTCTTTCTTTCTTTCTTTCTTTCTTTCTTTCTTTCTTTCTTTCTTCTTTCTCTCTCTCTCTCTCTCTCTTTCTCTCTTTCTTCTTTCCTCCCCTCCCTCCCCATCTATTTGCTTTCTTTGTTTTTCTCTCTTTCCCCTTTCCCCCCTCCCCACCTATTTGCTCTCTATCTTCCTTCCATCCTCTCCTCCATCTATTTGCTTTCTTCGTTTTTCTCTTTCTCTTTCACCTTTCCCCCCTCCCCACCTATTTGCTTGCTTTCCATCTTTTTATTTGTTCTCCCTCCTTCCTTCCCCCGTCCCTCCCCTATCTATTTGCTTTCTTTGTTTCTCTCTCTCTTTCTACCTCTTCAATTTTTCTTTCCACATCTCTGTTTGGCAAATAAATATCATTAGCGAACAAATAAACATCATTTGACAAATAAATATCATTATCAATATCTCTCCAAATCCTGCCCTCCCCAGGCTCCAACCTCAAATATCCACATTTCCAAAGTGGGAATTGGCAACCCTTTACTGATGGTTTCAGCATTATGTAGGGGAAACAACCTTGGTGGTTTTATTTCTTAAACTGGAAGCTTAATTCCTCAGAATCCTAATTCTATGCTAGATTATCAACCTCTGCATCACTCCCAAGTGATATTCAAAATGCAAAGGTATCT